ATTTGGATAGCAGTTCAATAAATCTTAAGTTCAGATAATTTAACACTATTTTGAATCCTAACAAGACAGGAGGCTTTTTTGTATGAGATGGTATCAGCCTATGTCCAATGAATTTAATAAACAAGTATTACCAGATTTTTTTGCACATTTTAGCTCAATAAAATCTGAATTAACTGTTTCAGATTATCTTTATCTGTATTTGGAAATAATTGTTTTGTAAAATCAGTGTCTTTTTGATACAATAGATCATACTTTGTTTTGTTTTAATAAAACAAGTGCTTTTGTTTTTCAGGGGAGGAATCAACATTTAATTCTGTGTTTACATTTTTTTTTTTTTTTTGAAATAGAGTCTCACTTTGTTGCCCTGGCTAGAGTGAGTGCTGTGGCGTCAGCCTAGCTCACAGCAACCTCAAACTCCTGGGCTCAAGCGATCCTACTGCCTCAGCCTCCCGAGTAGCTGGGACTACAGGCATGTGCCACCATGCCTGGCTAATTTTTTTTTCTATATATTTTTTAGCTGTCCAATTAATTTCTTTCTATTTTTAGTAGAGATGGGGTCTCGCTCTTGCCCAGGCTGGTCTCGAACTCCTGAGCTCAAACAATCCGCCCGCCTCGGCCTCCCAGAGTGCTAGGATTACAGGCGTGAGCCACCGCGCCCGGCTCTGTGTTTACATTTTTTATCACTGTTATTCAATACTCATTTTATGTCACTTTATAAGTAAGCTTACATGTAACAGAATAAGTATCTGTTTATATAATCTACATGTGACTGTTTTACTATATAGTCCAGTCATTTAAGATTATGTTGAAATTTACCACTGTGGGGATGAATGATCACTATTCATGAAACAGTTGAACAGGTAAATGTTTAAGAAATAAGCATAATTAAGGGTATAGTGTGGGTTAATAGGATTATCTTAGTAATGATTTTAGTGTATTTCTTATGAAATACACTCATTTAAAAAGGACTTTAAGAAATTGTGGATGTGAATAATACATTTCATGCTCGTCACAGAAAAATGTATTCAAAAAAGCATCACAGTCAGACTTCATTGAAAGTTGAAAATATGGAGCAAGACAATGGGTGGAAAAGCATG